TAAAAATTCCAGGAAGAAGTTCAACTTTATCTAAAGCTGATAGGTCCGCTAAGATGATAACTGAGACTTTCCCTTTGAACAGCAATGGCAGAGTTGAAATGGTTTTGACAAGAATTATTTGGTGGACTTCTGGTTAAAAAGAACATGATGAAACAATATTTTTACCATTTGTCAGGAACCACTGACAATAGACAACTCTTCTGAGGAATTTTGTTCTAAGGTGTAGAAAATGTTGGAATTATAGCTGGAGTAATTTGAGGGACTCAAGGAAGCTTTTCGTTTGTTTGTTTTTAAGCAAGGAGATATTAAAACATATCTGTATGTAGCAGGAACAAAATAAATATTTGTGGTGATAAACATATGAATTAGATACTGATGTTAGGTCCGTAAAACAATCCACATTATATTTGAACTGTGGTTCTACTGGCATAAATAGAAACTGTCTACTATGAATAACAATGAGATCCAACTTAATGCAATAGTAACTTACACTTACCACGAAAATATGTAATTTGCCTTAATAATTAATATATAGTTGATATATATCTGCTAAATTCTCCCACTTATTAAAAAATATAGCTGCTCAATTTGACTAAAAATTACATCCTTTCACTCAAAAAATCCTTAACAGATTAGGTATAAAAGGAACATACCTTAACATAAGAAAGAACATCATATGTAACAAACTCATAGCTAACGTTATACTCAATGGAGAAAAATTGAAAGGGTTTCCTCTGAGATCAAAAACAAGATAAGGTTGCTCACTCACCACTCCTATTCAATGTAATACTGGGAATCCTACCAGAGAAATTAAGCAAGACAAAGAAGTAAAGGCCTCCAAATCAGAAAAAAGGAAGTAAAATTATTGCTATTTGCTGATAATATTATCTTATATTAAAAAAAAAAATCCCAAAGAGTCAATAAGAAAAGCCTTTGGAATTAGTGATTTTGGTAAAGTGGTAGATTACAAAATCAACTTATAGAAGTCAGTGGCATTCCTTTGCACTAATGATGAAACATAGGAAAATGAAATAAAGAAAATTATCCTGATGACAATAGTATCAAAAATCATAAAATACTTAGGAATGAACTTAACTGAAGAAGAAAGAGTTGAACAATTAAAACTAAAATATTTGGCTGAAAGAATCGAAGACACAAACAAATGGAAAGATATCCTGTGTTCATAGATCAGAATAATAAATATTAAAATGGCCATGCTACCCAAAGCCATTAACAGATGCAATGCAATCCCCATCAAAATACCAAAGTCATTCTTCATAGAAATATAATAAACAATCTAAAATTTGTGTGGAACCACAAAAGACACTGAATAGCAAAAGCAATCCTGAAGAAAAAAGAACAAAATTGAAGGTGTCACACTTCCTGATTTCATGCTGCACTACAGAACAGTGTGGTACTGGCACAAAAACAGACACATAGGCTAATGGAACAGAATAGAAGAGCAGAATTCAGTCCCCACATATACGGTCGACTAACACTCTACAAGGGAGCCAAGAACACCCAATGGGGAAGGATAGTCCCTTTAACAATTAGTACAGGGAAAACTGGAGAAACATGCACAGAAAAATGATTGGAACTTTTTCTCACACCACTCATAAAAATCAACTCAAAATAGATCAAAGACTTAAACATAAGACCTATAGCATAAAACACCTAGAAGAAAATGTAGGGAAGAAGTTCATTGATATTGGTCATGATTTTTTGGGCATGATGCTAAAAGCACACACAAAAAAGCAAAAATAAAAACATGGGACCACCTCAAACTCAAAAGCTTACTTACAGCAAAGAAACAATTAACAAAATGAATGGCAGCTTGTAGAATTGGGAGAAAATATTGCAAACCATATATTGGGTAAGGGGTTATGGTCCAAAATTTGGATCACACAACTTAATACCAAAAATCAAATAATCTGACTGAAAAATGGACAACACACAATAGATATTTTTCTGAAGAAGATATCAAAATGGTCAACAGGCACATGAAAAGATGCTCAACATCACTAAGCATTAGGGAGATACAAATAAAAGTCTGTCAGAGACTAAACTCAAGTGTGCTAAAAACAGCAAACAAAACGAAACAAAAACATACTAGCTTTTCCTTGGGTCATTTTTTTTCCCCCACAGCTATACATCAAACTGCTCTTGCTTACATCTGCACAAGCTTATTTAACCAACGTACAAGCTGGGAATTCAACTTCAATTTTGTCTGTCACTTGTGCTATCCCAGAAACATTGTTGAACTATAATTAAAGAATATTAGTGACTAGAGTAGTTGGCCAGATGAGCCTACACACATTCCCTTAATTCACAATATGGGGGAAATGTATTTTATCTACATAATATTGTATGGTGTTTAAAGACAAAACTATCTCATAAAACAGAATGAACAATACTGCTTTAACTAAACAAAATAAAAAAAATACATAACACAGACCAAGTTGAATAATATACCTGTAATGCTATACATATACTTACAGGAGTCACAGAAACGTACATAAATATTAGTTGCTCTGTAAGACCTAAATGTTACACACATTTACACTAGTTGTGAACACAATATTATCATAAAGAAAGACAAAAACTCCTGTTTCATCATCTCATGTTTATTAACTTTGAAGCAGTTGAACAACGCAAGCTTTTGAACCTTTGCGGGTAATAACATTCAAAAACCTTTGATCCTTCTTCCTTTTCAAAAAATCCATTTAGTTACCTTTCAATAATTTGCTTTGAGAAATATAATTCTCTAAAGCTATCTGAAGATTAAAGGTAGAATTTGCTAGAGTCTTTTTGTAAATTGAGTAAATTTAAAAAAATGATGTACCAGGAATTAATATATCCCCTCATGAAAAATGTATTTGACACCTGCAGAACTCAGAATCCATATTCACAGTTTGCTCTACAAGCTTCACAGAGAAACAAAGAGAAAAAAAAGGTAACATTATTTCTTTCAAACTAAATGTGAAAACTCCCTTTAAGTTAATGACTTCTCCATGAAATATAGCTAGATTTAATAATATACAGTGAACTGGACAAATGAGATGACTTGTCATACTCTTAACAGAAATTATGTCTTGATTTCCTGCTGTGTTAAAAGAATGCCCTATTTCAAACTAGTATACTTCAGTATGCCCTATTTCAAACTATATTTTATACTGCGTATAAAGTAGTGGTAAAAATTAAAAGATGAAATAAAATAATTACAAGTGGAGACAATGTTTTTTTTTTCTTCATGTATATATAATATGAGACAAATGCATTCCACATTAGAATAGAGTATTAATTAATATATTTTGGCCTCCCACTTTAAGTAATTTGAATGCCATAAGCATAACTTTGATTAAAAAAAATAAAGATGATAGGAAATCAGTTGTATAATCCAACTTTAAATCTTCATGATGAAAAATTTTAGGTTAACGTAGGTTTTAATGCCTTTGCCAAAGCATGAAGTAGCAGTATCCAGTTGGATTAAAATATTCCAAATATCCAAATGGGAGGAAAAGGAAATTAAGAGCTTCCAAAGGATAGGACAAATTTTCATAACTCACCAGAAGACTGGGGAAAGGTGGGCAAGAGACATTTTAACTTCCTAAATGGTTCTTTCAAATAGTGAGTTCTTTCAAATTCTTCCAAAAACTGCAGGATATTTGCCTATGTACCATTACTAACTTTCTAATTTAATTTATGAAAAACAGAATTGGCTAGCTTTCTAAAAACTCATTTCCCTTTGCTATTGTCCCTCTTTCACAATTAAAAGAATCATTTACTGTCTTTTTCCTATACTTGAGTAAAGAGTTTCAACAGTTGGAAAATGTTATGCCAAACTATGTTTACATACAAAACCACTCTCTATTCTAAGTACATATATTCATTTCTATATTTCTTTGAGTTTATTCTTTGGATTGTACATTAGTTAATTTTCAGTTAAAATTAACAATTACGCATTTCTCTCCTCTTCTTCTAATATGAATATACCTTCGCATATCATCTTCCTCTTCATGCTAATATAAGCCTGCGGTCTATGGGCCAAACTTTTTCTCTCTCACATACCAGGTCTGTTTGACAGTGATTACTAGGATTTAAAGAAGTGGTTTCCAGAGGCTTTATAAACTGGTGATTTATTCTAAATCTCTGGTACAGGAATCAGTTATCTTTGTGTTTTGGACACATACCCAATGCACAATGCGCTATGTGCCTAAGTTATGGTAACCTCACAGTTACTGCTGAGAACGAGCTTTCTAGAGACCATACGGTATGTTTGATAGGTGAATTAAAAATCATTTGAATCACTTTAAAAAATCATCCTCAGACACATTATGTTCTCCAGTGCATTATTAATCTGTACATGAAACAGATTAAACAGTCTCTTAGGTGCAACATTAACATTGAAAAGATTGCTTATTGTGCTATGCTAAAATGTGCTAAAATTATGTGTGCTTAACTGGCCCCAGGCTGCGCTGGTGGTTTACTACTTGGCGATTCTTTAACTTTCTGTATAATTTCATCTGGTACTTCTGTGTGTAGTTGTTCTCTTAATTAGCCACTCTTGCTCTTAATGAACTATTAGTTATAATTTAGAGAAATGGAAAGTTGTTAGGGCACACAGGATATCCAAGCTTGACAACTGAGTGATATCCTTTACTTCCTAATTCTAAATCAATATGCTTTGACCTGCAGGTAATTTCTTCAGTTCTTAGAGGAATTAGAATTTATGGGCTTAATTACTGCTGCTTTTTCCTTGCTTAGTGATCTTTTTTTCTCTTAAGTTTGAAACTGGGGCTGTGTTTCATATGGTTGAACTGGACTGAAATTTGAATATGATGAGAAGCCTAATTTCACAATCATTATTCAAGAGGCTCACAGTCAAAGGATAAGAGAGAAGCAAAAGTATTCAAGAGAAAATATACAGCACTGCCTCTCCTTGTTCCCTCATTTCAGATGGTAACGAGATTTTACAGAAACAAATCAGTCTTCAGTTGTTATTTTTTAACTGCTTAAATGTAAATGGCAAATGCACATAGAAAGTATTTCACTGTAGTGTGTTTTTTGACTATTTCTTAGCAAAGTAAGGTTGGGAGCCAAGGAACCATTCCTGAATAACTAAAATATATATATTTAAAAAATATCTATGCATTGAAATGATCTACATAATTTAAATGGAGCTGTAACAATACGGTGATGTGATAGACTGAAGTTCAAGCTTTGGAAAGGATTCGCAGAAAGTCAGTTCCTGAAAAGTTTAATCATTAAGGAGTGTGGAGAACTTCAATGAAGCATCTTCCGTGTTTCTGTGACATTTAACCCAAGGAAGTCACGTCTGCAAAAATGAAAGTTGAAATTGTTAAAGCTAATCAGAACTCTGTAGATAAAGGGAGATCCATCAGGTCCAGTAGAGAAGAGCTAAAACTCTAATTACATGACATTTTATTACAGTTGTTTATGTGGCATATTTTTATTGCAAAGACAATAAGGAAAAATGATAATTTAAGATCAGAACATTAAAAAGAACATTTTCAATATATAATTTAGGTGCTTGTGCTCAAGCCACACTTCCTTTCTTTGGGTGCCCACTGTATTCTATTTCTTCTGAGTTTTCAATCTTGGTTCAAAGATTGTTGCCATGACAAACACAAAAAAGATGAAGAAAATCTGCCCACCACTTTCTGTTTGTTCTTATGATAACATGCTGATAATTGTTGTACATTTTGCTGTGTTTAAAAGGTCCAACCATATACTGTCATTTAAAAATGATATTTCTGCTATTTGAGAGTTACATTACTTTGAATGATGGTGTGTCAATCTTGTTGTGAAATAAAAATTGCCAGTATAATACAGCAACATGTGCCTCGCATTATTAAAAGTATTAATGCCTGTGGCAGCAAGGGGTGGCACAATTAATGGTCATATTTCTCCCAAATTTCACCAAGTCATCATCCTGAATTCCATGGCAGAGACCTAGAACTTGCTAAGTCCATCTAGAGAAGCTGTGAAACTTTAGATACAATACCTCTCTGAAGCTGAGTTGCTTAGAATAGAGGTCTATTAAAAATGCAGAACTTTGGTCCAATATATTAGTAATTTGAGGAGGACATTGTCTAAATGCCAGATTATCTTCCTTTCTAAAACACATATCAGGGAAGAGATTAGCATTTGTTCTGGAAACTAGGTAACACACAGCAGCTGTAATCTAGACTTGAACTCAAACCAAGTAAAACTTCCACAATTCGTACCAGTTTCGCTTTTAGTGTGAAGACCGCACAGTAAAAACCAGAAGGTGAAAACCCACAAAATAAGACTGCTTCAAAAGAGGATGCATCAGTTCTCACAGAAGTGAAACAAATAATTTCATTAAGTCTGAGATACAGTTTCTGTTTGTTTGAGAAATGTCCAAGAGTTAAGTTAGCATCCAGCAATGACAATTTCATACCCTGAAGACCTTTTGTCTTCTGAGGAGACTGTTGACCCAGAAATCCAGAGATCTGAGTCTTGGATCTTGCTCTGGCTGAGAGTTTGTACAATTTTGGGCAAATCAATTTCATCTCACAGCCCAGTGTCCTCTTTGTTAAAAAAAAAAAAAAAGAGAAAGAATTGGATTAAATGGACTATGTTTTTGAATCTCTAATGACTTAACTGCATGATTGTGTGGAAATTATTTAATGACTCTTGTTATCTATTCAATGATATACATACTACACCCCCTGTTTAATCCAAAGGAATATTGTGACAATAAGAAATAATATACCAAAAAGTAATTTTGAAAAGTTGAATGGAAATTTAAAAAATATTTTTATGGATTTTATTATTCATAAACTGAAACTTCACAGGAGGAAGTAAAAAAAATCTGAGAAATATTGGTGATAGTTGCAGGAAATAATGAACAGAAACACAATGGCTTAGCAGGTGTGCTCACTATGACTTAACTACGGGAAAGAGAAAACATGGTCTTAAGTTCTTCTCTAAACTTATACTTTGTGATATTACTACTGAGATTCCAATCATAAGGAGAGTGATTGTCATGGTACTCAACAAAGTCTGTTAGGTGAAGGATATAATCCACTAACAGTGATTTAGGAAGCAGTATATTAATTCCACTCCCTTTTCATATTTTATTGGCTTTCTGGAATTCTTATGGTCTAAAACTCTGTATGAAATTTTATATGAAAAATGAGTTCCCCATATGATTTTTTTATCATAAGTTATTTTAGCTTAATTCAGAAATACTAAAATAGTTCATAATCAAGGGTGGCAAAAGTGCATGTGGAAATCAACTGAACTTCACTATTTAAGTTTCAGTGTCATAATGTTCTCAGTACATCAAGAAAGTGGAAAATTATGACCCTAATTTCAAGGAATTATTTGGCTTTTAATAGCAGTTAGTTCCTACTCAAGTATGTGCTGATTTTAACAATGCTGAAGAGTGACCATGCTTAGTATACCAGTAGATAGAAAGAAAGTTCAGTCTGTATTTTGAAGATGGTACTGCTTAAAAGGCACTGTCATGGCAGTTTTCAGTTAGTCCTCCCATATTTATGGACATTCAGTAACTTCATGACTTCATTGATCGACAACTCCATGGAGATAAACAATTTCTTTTAACTAAGTCATTTTGAGAATGAGAAAGTAAAGGTACAATATTGACTTCTTATTGTGGTTTAGAGCATTTGATGAAGAAAAAAATGCATGGTTTGTATTGAGAGAGGGTCAGGGCAAGTGTCAAGTTTCTGGAGTCTCTGTAGCACCTGTGTGACGATCAGCTTGAGAGAAACAAACCGGAGTTTTCTCTTCCATAGCCTGAAAATGTCAGAGCAGTTCCAGGTTGTCTTATTTGTTTGGGAAGATGTTATACCCTCTGTAAATCCTACTGAGAGAAAATGCATTGTCTAGATTTTATATTCAACAAGCATCTAGTCCTCAACACATAATATGTATGACTAAATAAACTGTTTAAAATGTAAACTCAGGATGGATACTTTTGGATTTGAATTCTTACAACACTTACTGGCTATGTGATATTGTGAATTAATCAATATATCTAAGCCTTCTGCTTATTTTTACAATAATAATAATTATTGAGTACTTAACACATGTCAGGCAGTATTCTAAATGCTTAATGTATATCAATTCATTTAGTCTTCAGGGCAATATACTGTGGTAGAAATTATTATTATCCTCATTTTATGGAGGAGGTTTTCATAATTTAAGCAATTCCCACAGCCAACAGATAGGTGACTTAAGATTTGGTCCACAGAGCCTGACCTCTCTGGCTTGCATTTTTACCACTTACACTGCACTAGTTCTCAGGACTAGAGATAGTGATAATACCTACTTTATGGAACAGAATGATTAAATGAAGCAATGAGAGTATGGTGAGCATTAAGAATAGGGCCCAGCACAGAAAAAGTTTTCAAAACTATGAGATGCTACCCGTTGCATGCATTATGTGTCCAATACATTCGAGGACTACTACTCATCTTCACAATACCACTATGCTGATATAGAGAAGTAAGGTCTCTTGATGGAAACAAGCTAATGAATGAGTGACAGAACTGGGGCTTGGATTAGGTGTTCTAATTCCATGGCTAATGTTCTTTCTGCTATACCATTCTGTCTCCTATGTTACATGTTATCTTAAATCTGGTAATATAGTTAGTTATTGGCAACAAAATGGTATGTGTCACTGGAATGTGTCTTCTTTGTAACAGAGGGATTGTTACATTTTTATGTATGTTTATGAAGGTGATTTATTGTTAGTTAGAATTTTAACCCTTGCTTGGATGTTAATATTCAATAATTATATAGGTGTCCTTGAAAAATACCTAAATTATTTTTTTTAGGGTGAAGTAGCTCTAGGACATTGTTTTTTGCTTCTTTAATGTCATTTAAATTATTTAGCATCAATATACTAATTGAAAACAGAACTGTTTGAAAAATGAATTTATAAGCTAGGAATTCAAAAGGGGACTTTGTAAATCAAGATGGATCAATTACCTCACTGTGAAAGGTTAATCAAAAGACTGCATGTATTGTTCCTTATTCAAATATACTCACTATGGAGTCAATTAGCCTCTGGAATTTGAGAGCCGGTTCCCACCAATCCGATCCACAGGGATACCAAATCGCCGTTTTGGATGATCTACTACTTTCCTGAAACAAACCCAGGAGAACATTTTTAAGCTAAGTCCAAGTAATCAGTCATTACTTTTTCTTTTTTATTTCATGCAGGTCTGGGGGATTTCTATGGGATTTGTAATAAACATGATAGTCACCATTTAACAGCACCCTCTGTGTGTTGGAACTTCTCTCTTATCCTTTCAAAATCTGTCAAAGGAGGTTCTACTACCTCTGTTTTGTATGTTAAGAACTGACGCTTAGAGAAGTTACTTATCCAAAGTCCCCTTCTTTCTCCAGATATCGGAGTATTCCTTTGCTAACTGGAGAAGAGTGCTCTAGGTCAGCAGTTTTCTGGCCTCTGCCTGAGATTGGTTCTTCTGGGGAAGGTGGTGGGAGAGGAAAGGGTGCTGGTGTCAAGTCAATGTGGGTATGGGTGCCTCTCTGCCTTCCCTCTGATTTTACCTGGAGAAGCTTTGAATGTGATGTACAGTGTTTGTTATGTATTCTCTGCATCAAATACTGTTTGGAAAAAAAGCTCCATTGTTGAAAATAGAGTTTGAAAAATCTCACAGGAGCCCTTCCAGCTTGTATGTTTTACAAATTCTCTCTTCGAAAAAAACACCGTAATTTGATTTGTTATTGCCATCACTTAGTGCTATCAGACCAAAATCCTAACAGGAGAGGCCCCAGAACTTTGAGCCCCTAACTTTCATTGGCCTTGGAGCTAAGAAAAGTTATGAGTCTTTTTAGTGAGGAGAGAGACAACCTAATCAATTTTCAACAGTTTAAAGCATCAAAAAAGATTTGTTTCAGAACATTTTCAATAGTTTCTTTAGCTACTTTTCTAAATACCTGATTATATTGTTAATATATATGATTTAAATACAAAAAATGAATGGAAGCCTCAATATTTATGATTTTTTTCTATTATCATTTACTACTATTACCACTTATTATCATGTACCTAATATGTGTAAGATTCTTTTTGTGGCTGTCTTGAGAGGGATAAGTCAGAAACAGTTTTGCTTTCAAAAGCCTATAATAAGTCCTCTTGGATTGATAATGATTAATGCAAATAACAAAGGGAAAAAAAATCTTTCATTTTATTCATGCCAAGAGTTTGTACCTTAACTACCAGGTCTTATCAATGTACCTCATGTCACTATTAGGTAAATAATTTATTTAAAAGCTCCAAGAAGTATGGAGAACAATAGAAACATGAGGGATTTTTAGTATTGTACTAATTCTATAAACATTACTTAATTTTAATTAAGACAATTAATTTGAAGGTAATTACTATTTACTAAATGCTTTCTATCTGCCAGGCACTGTGCTTAGTACTGTGTATGTAAGTATGATAAAAATTGGCATTGAACCTGAGATGGAGCTTACCCTCAAAAACACTGTGGAATAGGACCATATGATATTTTTTACCTAATTCAGCCTTCTTTTCCACTGATTCACATCCATCTTCCTTTCTAGGTTGGCCCTTAGTTTTCTAGTGAATGGAATGTCATTTTATGTGTGATCTTATAAGATTGTCTCTTAGAACAGTCTGAAAATTTGGTTAAAAAAATTATTGCTTATTCTTCTCTGCCTCTATTCAGATAACACCTGCTCTGTCTATCTTCTGGAGCTATTTATTTATTTAACACACAGATTTCTGAAACATATATCCTACTAAGTGATGTCTATTATTTGTATTTGTAAATTTCTTGATATTAAATTGAGTGCATAATATTCAATTTGATAATTAAACAGGAGACTTGTTATCTGTAATAGCATAAAATTAATAGTCAAGAGTCATAGAAAACTATGCCTATCAGTTATGCTTTAGGTTTTCTGATATAATTGCACATAAGACTAGTCTAGTCCCCTGAAAGGTGGAAGATGTTTGGAGAAGAGTGGTCAGAGAGCTGCAATCTGGGAAGGAGCTAACCTACCATTACAGGCCTTGAAGTTGAAGGAAAGGGTCAAAAATCAATCTAGGAATGCTGTTGTTTCTAGAAGGTCTCAAAAGAAAAATGGGGGCTTCAGTCCTACAACCAAAAGGAACTGAATTATGCTGACAACCTAAATGAGCAGGAAATGATTCTTCTTTAGAGCTTCCAAGAAAGAGCACAGCTTGCTGCCCTCTTATCTTCTTTTGTATCCAGTTAGCAGACCAAGTAAACAGAGCACAGAGCAGCTCTCAGGAGGGATTTTAGAAACCCACCATTGGCTAGCAACCAATCATATGGCTGTACCTAATTGAAATTAGTCTGAGAAAATTGTCTAGAGTGATATATGGTGACTGGTGAGGATATATTGGACTTCTGACCTACAGAATTATAACATAATAAATTTGTGTTGTTTTAAGTCCAGAAGTTTGTGGTGATTTATTACCAGAGCAATGAAAAATAAATATATTTGTCATTATGATTTAGGACTTATGTCTAAGAGTAATGTTAATAGATTAAAAAAATTAAACTGATGTGATTTTAGTTTCCTGAACTCTTAAATTCCTTTACTGACTACCCCCATTATAACTGGAGGGGAGGGGTGAGGTGGAAGCCACCTCTAGGTGGTCAAGAGTGCTCAGGAGTCCCAGACAAACTGGAAAATGAAGTGAGAACTCAGCCCTTTCCAAGTATTTAAAGGACTGGTGAGAAGGGAAAGGAAATGGGGGATGGGAAAAGGAGTGGTGATGCAAAGGGGTATTGACCTCCTAACATCCCTGTGGAAGGGATGGTGTCAGGAAAAGTAATCCTTTACCTTTTAAAAGAGAAGTATGATGGTCTCATGCATCATTACAAGTTGAACAGAACATTTATTGGTTCATACTACCAGTGCATTTTCTTTTTCAAAAACTAAATCAAAATAGCATTTTTCTGTCTTTGCTGCAGTTGATCTTTTCCTGATCAAGCAAATAAGAGGCATCTGTAGTATGGTGGAAAGCAAAACAAACTTTTTCCTTCCTTTTTCTCTTGTTCCTCTTTTCCCCCAGATTTGATTCAAAAAGCATTAGGAACCAGGAGGAAGATGCAATTCTATTACTGATTGATAGTGGGAGTATTGGTAAGTCTGTGTCATTCTGAGTTTCTCTTTCCTTTTTGATAAAAGTCAGATAACACCTGCTCTGTCTATCTTCTGGAGCTGTTTATTTATTTAACACACTTGTTTGTTAAATAAAATTTGGTTGTTTGCAGCACAACCATATGTATTTGTTATCTGCACTGGATATACAGTGGTGAATAAGACATACATTAGCTCTTAGAGCTTACATTTTACTTGAAAAAAGCTAATGAGGTAATACACCTGAAAACATTTTACACATTTTAATTAATTCTACTATCCTATCAGTCTATTTCAGTATGTGCAGTTTACTCTTTTTACAAATAAAACCTTTATGAAAGAGAGCAATATCTAAAAAGTTAAGTGAAGAACTGGCCCAGTAAAGGATTGATTCTTACTCTCTGTGTATCATAGCTCCTGCTTAGAACAGAGTTTGAAAACCACTGGTCAAGCGGATAGGAACCTAGATCATGAATGCTTTTGTTCTAATAGATCCATAATTACTATGATCCATTTCATCAAATTTGGGATTGGTTACAAATGCTCACAGGTATCTTGAAATCAAGTAAGAGAAATAAATAAAATATATTTGAAAAAATCCATTCAGTATTTAAAATTTTTAGCTCTAATGCAAAAATGAAAATAATTATTCTCATAAAGCACATAATCCAAAAGATTACCCTAACTTGGTAAATTTAATTTCTATATAGTCTCTATCCATTCAGAACTGAAATGGCAAACTGGCATTTACCTTAACATTTTTGTTAATATGAAACATATATAATGGTACTATGCTCTATAACACACAATACTGACAGGAATATACACTGTTAAAACATAAAGAGAAATATTCTTAGAACTCAAAAGGAAAATTGTATTTTCTGACTATCTAGTCCCTCTTGTGACAAAATAATGGTATGACATGGCTTATATATCCATTCAACCCAATCCACCTTTCCCACTCTGAAAGATTTGGAAAGTAATTTAAGCATACAAAATATCTGCCCAATTAATATAAAGGAGAATATAGTAACAGCTTACAGTAATGGCTTACTGAACTTTTAAATAGTTCAGTAATTTAATTGGTACAACATGGAATTAAATTACTATATAATAAAGCTTAGATGTATGGACCCCAGTAATTCTACCATAATGCAGTCTCCCTTCACACCGAACAGGCTGACCACTTTAACCAAAAAATGAATTGTGACACTGTGTGACTTCCAAGGCTAGGGAATGACAAACATTGCAGCTTCTGCCTTGTTTCATTGGATCTCTCACATTAGGGGAAGTCATCTGCCGTTTCCTAAGGACACACTGTAAGAGCTCTCTAGAGAGGTTTACATGGCAATGAACTAAGTCTTCCTGCAAATAGACACTGAGGAACTGAGATTTCCCGCCATCAGCATGTGAGTGGGTCCTTTTGGAAATGGACACTCCAGTCTTGGTACAGCCTTCGGATGACTACAGCCCTTGCCAATTTCCTCGCTGTAACCTCGGGAGAGACATTGAGCAAGCGCCCAAGCCTACTTGTTCTGGATTTCTGACATGCAGAAACTATGTGGAAACATACATGTTTATTATTGTCTTAAGCTGCTAAATTTTAGGCAACTTGTTTGCATAACAGTAGATCTCTAATATGGTGAGTTTCAAAGTGCTCTGGGATTCCACAAGAGAAGAGATCACAACCAATATGGGGGGTCCAGGAAGAACTTAAGGAACATATAGAAAAAATAAAAAACAAATGGTGACCCCTGAATCCTGTGATTTTGGTCATGACACCCGACAATTAAAGTATAGAATTAAGAAATGACTATAGCAGGAGAGATATAACTGTATGTACTTGGAAGGACTGATGTGTGAGGAAAGACTAAAGTGAAGGACACAGCAAGCTCCCGTAAAGAACAAAAAGGGAAAAAAATCATCGAAGTCAGGCTTTGAATAGATAGTCTTTTAAATTCAAATTCCAGAATGTTATG